TAATATCATACTAGAAGTTCTAAACTCTTCCTATATTATAGTAAATATGTTTTTGTAAATATACAATATTTTTCTAATCAACCAACCCTGTAAATGATAGATGTATTTCAACCTTCATGGTTGCAAAGTCTATATTTTATTAATAAATAAATTCAAAGTAAAATGTCATGGGTGATTATGTGTAGTAAATTTGTTCCACGCACAATTGAAGAACAATTTGCAGCGCTTTGTTTCGACATATACTTCAGAAAGAAACGCGACAAGAATGACAGTTTTCCCTTACCAACTGTTATTACAGAAGTATCCGTGCTATTTGACTCATTCTATATGAATATAATTGGATTTGATTAATTTAACATTTGAAATAGAAATGCATGATCTGGATTGATAGACGAGATTTAGATATATACTGGCGAAAATGATTTTGTTAAAAAATTGCCAGTTTTGGTAATAAGAAATATAGTATTGTCCCAAAAACCGTGCACATGCAGTTGTTTTCATATATGTACCAAAAATAACACTTGAGGCTAGTGGCCAGCCTGGGCGCGGCCAGCCTACGTTCCCAAAACTTTTAAGTTTTAAAAAACGTTCAATATTCTATCAAAAGCGTATCACAAAATTCGACTCTCCTTAGACTTGCTGCATGCAAGACGACTAGCCGAATCTCGTATTATTTAGATGCGAGGTTGAACTCGAAATTCTTAAAGATGGCTCGATACAGTTTAAAAACTGAAAATGGAAAATTCACAATTTAAATCCGTATTTTTGGACAATTCACTTGTTCGAAAACAAAACGTATTTCACTCATATAGATCAACATCTAATGCGTTCGATTTCCCCCTCCCACCCCTCCCCCCACACACACACACACAAGTTACACAGCTGCCGTTGCTATGGCAGTATTTGGCGAATAGTGCGAATAGCTGGCGAATAGCTGGCGAATAGCTGGCGGCGAATAGCTGACGAATAGCTGGCGAATAGCTGGCGAATAGCTGGCGAATAGTCGGCAAATAGTCGCAAATAGTGAGAACATAGGTGAGAATAGTCGACGCATAACTTAACTGTTCTTATTAAATTGCTAAATTTCACTTGTTTCTACATAGATATGGGTGAAACTTTTATTTTCATATATATATATATGTGATTGAAGTAATTGGCCAAAATACTAATTGGAATAAACTCTATCGCGCATGTAAAGACGTTTCAGTATGCGGGCAAAGTTCACACTAGTGCGCGCATAAGCATCATGAGGATCGAAACTGTACATAAAATGGTTACAGGAAACATAGCAAAAAAGTCCTCCAATACACACTTTTCTTTAGTTATAAATTGCATGCATGTTCAATAAAATACAACACATACAACAAAAAATGAAAAAAGAAAAACTTATTCAAAATATTTGTAGACTATTCACTATACTGTTCGTCAACTATTCGCACGATTGGCAATTATTCGCGACAATTCGCCAACTAATCTTAGCATTGATTCACAGATTATTCGCACTATTCGCCGAGTATTCGTACTATTCGCGACTATTCGCACTATTCTCCTTTTTCAGACTCACAGGTGTTGTAAAGTAACATCTGTGAGTCTTTGTGGTTACTCGAGTGTGCGCAGTTAAACAGTGGAAAATAACCATTTGCGCGCTGTTGCCCAGAGCAATGCCTGTGCGCGGGCTAGGATGGCATTGGCTCTGGGGAAATTGAATTTTTCCTGTGCTGTGATTGGTTTAACGTTTATCAATCGTGCATGCCGACAAAGAACTGGAACCCCTAAATTTAGGGGTTCCGGTTTTCAATTTCCCCAGAGCCAATGCCATCCTAGCCCGCGGACAGGCATTGCTCTGGGTACGAAATTGTGCCTTTCAGAATTCAGAACCGGAAATCGGGCTGGAGCACGCGTTCGTTCTTTCGATTTGGTAAAAGCACGACCGGACAAATGGCAAAATTCGCACGGTGCTCGTTTGCAAAAACAACTGCAAACTGCTCTAATTCTTTCAATCTGTCACTTTCATTTGATCTCATCCGTGAGTCGGCCTCGATCAACGGCTTTTGATATCAATACTAGATTCCCCTTATAACGTTTTCGTGGCATTGTGGTTACAGTGGTATCACTGATATTCAAGATGGCTTATTTTTTGTCCTGACTCGTGCAAGAACTTTTTAAAAAGCTAGGGTCAGGTGAGCGATAACAGCAAAATA